CAATCTGGAGTAATTTTGGACCACTCCTCTTCACAAAACTGTTTCAGTGTAGTAATATTCTTGGGATGTCTGGTGTGAATCGCTCTCTTAAGGTCATGCCACAGCATTTCAATTGGGTTGAGGTCAGGACTGACTGGGCCACTCCAGAAGGCATATTCTGTGCTGTTGCAGCCATTGTTTTGTTGAATTACTTGTATGCTTTGGGTCATTGTCCTGTTGCATCACCCATCCTCTGCGGAGCTTCAGTTGGCGGACAGATGGTCGTACGGTTTCCTGCAAAATGTCTTGATAAACTCTAGAATTCATTTTCCCATCAATGACAATCCGTCCAGGCCCTGAGGCAGCAAAACAGCCCCAAACCATGATGCTCCCTCCGCCATGTTTTACAGTGGGGATGAGGTTTTGATGTTGGTGTGCTGTGCTTTTTTTTCTCCACACATAGTGTTGTGTGTTCTTCCCAAACAACTCAATCTTGGTTTCATCTGTCCACAGTATATTTTGCCAGTAGTGCTGTGGAACATCCAGGTGCTCTTTTGCAAATTTCAAACGTGCTGCAATATTCTTTTTGGACAGCAATGGCTTCCTCCGTGGTGTCCTCCCATGTACTCCATTCTTATTTAATATTTTCCTTATTGTAGATGTGTCAACAAAAATGTTAGCATGTGCCAGAGATTTCTGTAGGTCTTTAGCTGACACTCTGGGATTCTTCTTTACCTCATGCAGCATTCTGCGCTGTGCTCTTGCAGTCATTTTTACAAGACGACCATGCCTAGGGAGAGTAGCAACAGTGCTAAACTTTCTCCATTTGTAGACAGTCTGTCTTACCGTGAACACATGAACATCAAGGCTTTTGGAGATACTTTTGTAACCCTTTCCAGCTTCATGCAAGTCAACAATTCTTGATCGTAGGTCTTCTGAGAGCTCTTTTCTGCGAGGCATGGTTCGCATCAGATAGTGCTTCTTGAAACCAGTAAACCCAAAAAACAGGTGTGTGTTTTTTTAAGGGCAGGACAGCTGTCAGCAACACATCCAATATCATCACACTGATTGGAGTCAAGGTTGGCTCACTCCTGGCTCCAATTAGCTCTGGGAGAAGTTATTAAGCTAGGGCCTCACATACTTTTTCCTCCCTGCACTGTGAATGTTTACATGTTATGTGCAATTAAACCATGGCAACATCTAATGTTTGTGTAGTATTATGTTCAGCAGACTGTGTTCTTCTATTGTTGTGACATAGATGACGTTCAGAGCACATTTTATGCCCAATTCATGCAAAAATCCACTTAATCCCAAGGGGTTCACATACTTTTTCTTGCAACTGTATGTGTGAACCAGGGGTCAGGTAGTTCTTAACAGCGCCACTTTTACTGTACCAGATTCAAAACCAATTGCCTCCAGTTGGTAAATAATGAAACGGGAGGTAATTAAGACCAGCTGTAGGGCCTTGTTCACACCATACATGCATAAAAACCTATAGAAAAAAACACGCAGATTTCACTTGCAGTGACACATGTTTACATCAGTTTCAACACTGCTGTTACATATATCTGTACAGAAAAAAAACTGACGTAATAAATTCTCTGCAAGAGCAGAAAGAAGGACAATTGCTCTCTATGTGCCCTGTTCACACCACAATGTTGATGCCACGACAATTTTCTTTCCGCACAGAAAACTGCACACACGTTGCAGATACCTGCGCACAAAAAATCCACAGATGATGCCAGTGTTGTGGTGTGAATAGGGCACATAGAGAACAATCCTTTTCTTTGTGCTCTTGCAGAACGCGTGCAGAAAAACTGACATCTCTGCATATGGTGTGAATGAGGCCTAACTTGGCGTCGAGACAGAGTGGCTGTCTCTGCACACTGTAGCAGAGTGGCACGTTTGTCCCCTCCACACTTGTCACTGGCAGTTTAGGACGCTGTTGGCTTCACAACCAACAGCCTCCAATCAGTGATGATAGTGGGAAAAGGGAAGTGGAGACAGTGGTTGCTAGGAGGCTGGCGGCTGTGAAGCAGACAGTGTCCTTAACCAGTAACAGGTGGGGAAGGGGTAACAATGACATAACATGTAATGAATCTCTGGAGTGGCTTCTAGCAAAGCTTGTGACTGAATATAGCCCACAAATACTACACATGGCATCCTTATCCATATATCCTCTCTCTTCATTGTAGACATCTGAACACTTTGGCTGTATATGGTTTTTGTCATTCCAGTTTCTCTCTAAATTTAGGCATTACTGGCTGCTAGATGTCAGGGTTTCCGCACTATAAGCACTATAGAAGAACTTAAGTCTTGACTGAAATCTTTTTGAATATTAATTTAATTGACTATTACAGTGGAAGTAACCTCCCACTGGATACTTGTACCTACAGGATGCTTATAATAAAGCTTACCTGTAGGTACAAGGAATATCTCCTAAACGTGCACCAAGATATTCAGTGTCCCTGCAGCCAATGACGTCACCGGCGCATGAGCTCTGAAGGAATGGCATACCCGTGACATTTCTTCAGAGCTCCGTACCATGGCCAAGACTCACCTCATCCTGGCGCAGCCAACCAAGCGGCCAGAGCCCACGAACCTGGAAGGAAGACCGGGTGAAGATGGAAACCCTGCCAGCAGTGACAGAGTGCTGCTGGAGGGTTTTGTTCTAAGGTAAGCCTTTCATAATGTACTTGTATGCAGGGGTCATTCCTTTTGTAACATATTACACCCTGAATATGGGTGTAACATTTAAAATAAGGTGAACTTACCCTTTAAGTTCTTTTTTAATTGCGGTCTGTGAACCCCATGGAAGAGACTTTGTACTCTTCCGGTTTAAAACGTGTCACCTGAACAGGAAGTGAGGGATTCTCATAGCGATACAAGAAGCAAAATCCTGATGGAGTAAAAACCCTTACTCCAAAAAGGGACTTTGGTCATTTGTGGAGCTATACTGGTAGCAGTGGTTTAGTTTTCATCCCATTTATACTCACAAGCACTTACAACAGGGGATTCCCAGTGTCTCTTTGCAGCAGCAAAGAGTGTTGGAACCAGGAGACAAGGATATCTCACAAGGACAGGCACTTTCTTCCTTTCATTGCGTTGTAATGGTAGTCAAATGTAACATCACTAAACTTGTCAGGATAAGGGCCCATGTACACTGCAGCTCCTAAACTGATATTCAGGAGCTGTTCAGCATTTTTTTCAGCAGCCCCTGAACTCTCCCTGTTTACCTATGTGTCCATGTACACATCATCGTTTACAGTCTTTTACAGGCAGTTGAGTTTACAGTCGTTTTTTTTAACGCACCAAGCTTGCGTTCAGGAGTAGATTTTACCGGCGTTTCAAACACCAACCGCGTGTAAACGTGGTTAACCTCGTTTATAAGCGTTTTTTAACTGTTCCATGTCCAGATGCTGTCCAGAACCTTTTTTCATCATCAGAAATGCATGCAAAGCATTTTCCATGTATTCAAATGGACCCGGTACACCAGCACAGTCAGTTCCAGGTTTCGCATGAAGGAAAAAATGGTAGAACGTACTGCATTATGCTCATGATGGGATCCATAGTGAATACAACCAGAAGACAGGTCATCTCAACACATACTGCTCCTCTCTGCTTCTGCTCGCTCTATTCCTCTCAAAATGTCTGAAATAGTTAATTTTTTACTATTTTTCAGTGCATTATGGGCATTTTGGAAGGTCTCCTGAGGTTATTTTTTAAAAACGCTTCTAAAACGCAAACATCCCGTGTACATGAGCCCTAAGCTGCAAAATCAGCCTTGATCTGACAACATTGTTGTGCAAGCAGGCTTTGCAAATAAAGACAAACTTTTTCATCATGCTACCTTGTTGATTGCTAGCTCTTACCCTCGTGTAATGATCAAATATTGATACACAGACACAACAGTTTTCAGCCAGTAAGGTCTAACATGGCAGGAACTGGTTATGGGGTTCTAGGACTGCACTGCACATGCTAACATTAGAAGCAGGCTAGCAACAAAATAAATGAAAGCCAAAAGAAGCACTGAGTAATAGACAAGCTAAAAACTGTCACAGATAATACCTACAACAAAAGAGATACATATTTCACAATCGCTCATCCCATGGTTTTGCCTGTAAGCATCTAATATTACTGAGTACAGTTTATCAAAGTGTCTAAAAGAACATGTCTCATCTCACAGCAATGACAAATTAAAGTGAGAATTTTGACTGGTAGCAATAGGCATCAGGTATTTCTTCAGACACACTGATAAAAGGGTAATTTTACTCATTAGGCTGAGAAAACCTCAGGTTATGCGGTATTCCAATACTGGCCACAGACAAAGATTTTATCAGGAAAACTTTGCTGCTGTCTATGGGTCTGACACTTCTTTCCCCACAGTACACAATTATATCCAAACCTTTATTTTGTCATACAATTGTCATTTTTTAGGAAATATTTACTCTGACAGGTACTGTGGAGAAATGAAGATCATTGTTATGAATGAGATGTTGATCTATTACGGCCCAAGTTACCAAAGGGAAATGCAAACGTGTAAGCAGAGTGCTACGTAAATTGATGACGCTATATAAAAGTATCTGTTATAAATAAATATAGCGTGTTTTTTTTTTTTTTTTTACTTGTTTTAGCTTTTTTTTTTTTTTTCAAACTGAAACTGTCAGATCAATAGCAACAACTTAATATATTATCGCATTCAAAATATGTCCATTCAGGAAGACCCTCGTGCTTGGTGAGGGTCATTTATCTAATAAATCTAAAATAAAATCTTTGTGTGGCCAGCATTACTGTTGGATGGAGATATTCTCTGACTGTACCTAATTATGCAATAGCCACCATGCAGGAATTGTTTAGAGAAGACATATACAGATATTACACAGGACATTTCATAGTGGAAAACTACTTTGTCATCTAGAGGAGAGGTCAGGCTAACCAAGAAATTGCACACAAATACGTTGCTACCTTTATACCAGCACAAAAAACTAATTTTATTAAAGGGACTGAAAGGACCATTAATACTAACCTTCTGCACACGGTACTACTATGAGAGCTCTGTCAATAAATACTGTGTTGGTTAGATGCTGGGCCACACCAACGCTTGATGGCTCACGAAACTTAACATAACATACTTTGGAGGAAAAAGCAAGTGGTGCATTGCTGAAAAATAAAGGGAAGAATAATTAACACTACGGCAGATCATATATCAAACAATTCAAAAGTGCAGTTACTAAAACAAAATCAACTGGTAATATTGTAGATGAGCAGCATTCAGATCCTTGCATGTACTACATAATATCTTTACATTTTCTAAGGCCTCATTTACGCTTGCTTCAAAATGAGGCAAAAATTTGACACTTTAAAGCTCTCTGAATGCCAATCGAAGCACCTGTCACTAAATAAAATGGTTACCTTACAATCCTGTACACCACGGGTGTCCAAACTTTCCTGGGCTACATTGGAAGAAGAGGAATTGTCTTGGCCACCATAAAATACACTAACAATAAGAATAGCTGAGCAGATAAAGTCGAACAGATAACAAGTCATCAGAAATGGAGGAGGAATCGGCACATGGGACACAGAAATCTTGCATTATGGGTTAAAAGGGGTGGGGAAAATGGGATTTATATTGCCTGGAGTATGGCTTTAAACAGCTCTGTTTCATAAGATATAATTATTTAATAGCTGGAAACTCTGCATCATCAGCAAGAGACCAGGCAGCTGAAAGGGCAACCTCTCTCCTCTGACTCCAAGCTACAGTCATCCGAGGACATACTAAAGCTGGCCATACACCCATGGATTTCTTTTGTGCAGGCTGAACAAAAAAAAAAAAAAAACAAAAAAAAACCCATCTAACAGATTCCCCTATCCACATAAAACAGCATGGATGGAGGAATCCCTTTTTTTTTCAATTACAATAAACTGGTTTATACTTACCTGCTCTGTGCACTGGTATTTCACAAAGCAGTCCCGAAACTCCTTTTCTGTGGTCCCTCACCAGCGATTGTGGCTCCTACTCTTCTGTGACTGCCTCCATAGCAAGCCACTTGCCATGGGGGCAGACGAGCAGGCTCGCTCCTGATTCAGACCTTGTGTGCCCATAGACACACACACACAGTCTTGGCCCCACCCCCTGCTCTCTGGGTTTGACTGACTGCAGCAGAAGCTAACAGCTCCCGCTGCCATCAGCAAAGCCTGTGAGAACAGGAAGAAGGGAAATATGGCCTGCAGCAGGGCACAGCACTGGATCAACAAAGGACTCAGGTAAGTGTTAGGAAGTTGGAGGTAGCAGGCAGTGCAAGGTCTTATTTTTACCTTAAAGTGAATGTAAACACATTTTTAAAAAATAAATGTGTCATATTTACACTTAGCACCAGTCCTCCTTTTCCAGGGTCCCCCACAGGCACTCCTGGCTCCTCCCCCTATGCCAAGTGCCCACCATAGCAAGATCCTTGCTATCAGGGCACTCATGTGAGCTCGCTCCCAAGCCGGCTCTGTGTGTGAATGGGAGATGCACTCAGAAGGATGCATTAAGATAACTTTCAGCATTTAGAACCACTTTAAAGAGGAGCTCAGTGCTCCCCCCTAAAAATTTAAATCAGCAGCTACAAGTACTGTGACTGCGAATTTTAATTTAAGGTCACTTACCTGTTCCAGCAAAGTCTCACCCGAGCTGATTCTTCAGTCAGCTTCGGTGCTAGCGCCAAGATCTTCAGAAAAGGAAACCAGAAATGAAGCCTTGCAGCTTCACAGCTGGCTTCCTACTGCGCATGTGAGAAGCACACTGCACTTTGAGAATGGGCCGCAATCTTCTGGGAGCTGTGAAGTGTTCCAGAAGGCTACTGGGTTTGATGCAAACCTTCAACGCACATCGCCACGGTGAGCTGACCTGGAAGCGGGAGCGAGTACCTGTCAAAACCAGATACTTGCTCCCCCTCCCTCCAAAAAATGCTAAAGTGGCAGTGGAGGGAGGGAGGGATGGAGGCAGATGATTAAAACTTCCCCTTTTGGGTAGATTTCTGCTTTAATGCCTTAAGCTAAAAAAAAACAAAAAAAAACAAAACAAAAAACTGTTTAGAACCATTTTAAGGCCCATATCACAGTGGACAGGATCGTGAAAAGAGCAAAGAAGCCACTCGCCTGCTTCTATGGCATCTCTCCCTCAAAGGAAGGACTAGCAATGCAACTCTCAACCAATCCTCCCTTGCTGGTAAGCAATTACCTGCCAAAGAAAGGATAATTGGTCTGACAAGGGCCTTGCACTAAGTCTATAGAAGATAAATATAAATGTTTATTCAGTAAGGTTGCAGAATTATTTAAAACTTGGGGACTCAAAGGACGAGATCACATCTGGTTAACTACCTCAATACAGGCGAATTCTGAAACTTCTCACATACATGTAAAAAATCAACTTTTTTTGGCTAGAAAACGCTATTATAGTAGTAGTTATTTATCTGTTAACTGAATTTCCAGGAATCTTCCAGGACAGCTTCAACATGAGAGATAGGCTCCTTCCACCAGGAAACACATGATCCACTTTTTCTAATAAGCCTTTCCATCCCTGGGGTCCTCAGTATAGAAATATAACCGAACATCAAGGAGAGAGCATAAATATAACAGTAGTAACAGCACAAATAGCCCATACATGACTAACACAAGGGCATAATTATATACTAATCGTGAGGAAATTACGCTGTCCTGGAAGATTTCTGGAAATACAGTTAACAGATAAATAACTGCATTTTCCCAAGTCATCTTCCAGGACAGCTTCAACATGAGAGGATTGAATAGAAATATGTACATTAGGGCGGGACTTCTGCTTGGACGTCCTTTCTGTCAAATGTTTGTTCCTTGCTGGAGGCTAGGTCTAATCCGTAGTGTCTGGCGAACGTGTTGAAGCCAGACCATGTTGTGGCTTTGCAGATCTGACCAGGGGAGGCTCCAGCTGCCTCGGCCCATGAAGCTGCGGTGGCTCTAGTTGAGAGTGCCTTCAAGCTAGGTGGTAGTGTTAGTGCTGCAGTTCTGTAGCCTTCTGAAATAGCTTCCCTTAACCACCTTGCAATGGTGCCTTTGGAGGCTTTAGAGCCCTTTCTTGGTCCCTGGAATAAGATAAAGAGGCTGGAAGAATTTCTCCAGTCTTTTGTGAACTCGATATACGCAATGAGGCACCTTCTCATTGATTTTGTTATAATCCTCTTCTTTGGTGTTGCTTGGGTTTCCACGAAGACGGGATTACGATTTCTTCTGTTCTGTGAAAGTCTGACGTGACTTTTGGTAGGAATGCTGGATCCAGGTTGAGGATAATTTTATCCAATAGAATTGTGCAATAGGGCTCTATTACTGACAGCGCTTGCAATTCACTGATTCTACAAGCTGAGACCAGGGCTACTAAGAGGGTGGTTTAGAAGGATAAATATTTATTTCAGCATTTGTCCAGAAGTTCAAAAGGTTCCTATTGAAAGCTTCTTAAGTTCCTAAATCCCAGGTGGGAAACTTGGGTCTGTATGGGTTCCTACGTCTGGTGATGGCCCTAGTGAATCTGATGATCAGCGGGTCCTCTGCTAACTTCAACTCCAGAAAATTAGATAACGCATCTAATTGGACTTTAAGTGTGCTAGCTGCTAAATTCCTATCTGCTCCTACTTGTAAGAATTTGAGAACTGCATTTAGAATAGGCACTTCTAAAGCCGTAACGGCATTTGTGGACTTTTCCCATCCACTTAGAACGGTGGAGACCACCTTCTCAGATAACCCTTTTCTAGCTAACCTTTCCAGCTCAGAAGCCAAGCCTCAAGTGACAGTCTCTCTGGGTGTGGGTATAGTACCCCCCCGTGCTAGAAGGTCCTTCCAAAGTGTAAACATCCAGCGGTCCGCCTAGCTTGGCTTCCTCAGGAGAGAGAACCACGACCTTTCTGGCCAGAATAGGAAATGGAAGATGACTGGTTTGAGACGTCTGTATCTTCTGCAAGACTCTTGGGAGTCTGAAAGGTGGAAAGGCGTAGATGAGCTCTCCTTCCCATGCATGAGCCAACAAGTCTGTGCCTGCGCTTCAAGGGTCTCTTTGTAGGCAGAAATATTTTCTGAGTTTCGTATTTCCTCTGTTGGCGAAAAGGTATATGGAAGGTGTGCTGCAGATTTGGGTAAATGGCTGAAGCACCAATCCGACTGGCTTATTTCTTCTCGACTTTGTCTGCTAAAGAATTCAGATGCCCCTTCTAATGGACTGTTGTAATTGACATTAAGTTTTCTTCTACCCAGCTTAAGAGTCTGATACTTCCATTAGCTTTGGTGACCTGGTGACTCCTTATCTGTTTAGGTATGCAACTGTTAGGATGTCCAACAGGACTTGTATTTCCTTTCCTGTTTAATTCTTTTTTTGAAAGGACATCAGAGCTTTGTAAACCTCCATCAATTCTCTGAAATTCAAGGAACTTCCTGATGTTTCCGGGTCCCATTTTTCCTGAGCTAAGCAGTCTTCCACGTGTACCCCATCACCATGCGCTTGCACCTGTTGTAATTTTTGTTGGATTGGATTATTTCCATTTCCTTCCATGCTCCAACATCTGCTTGTTGGTCCACCAGGTGAGTGACTTTACTTTCCACGTGAGGGGAATACTGAAGTCCAATGAAGTTTGGTGGCTGTACCAGAGAGGTAAAACAGGATTCTGGATTACCCAAGTGCAGTTGAGCCCATTGGACCATGGTTTGCTGTGTCTTTTAGACCCCATCTCTCTCCTCTGAAACTGGAAGTGACAAAATCCTCATCGCTTCCAATTTCTGATCTCACGGAGAGGGAAGAACAGCATCAGTTCCTCTCTCTGTGCAGTATACTAGATGCCACCAGCAGTTGGAGTCCAGGAAAGGCAGCTATTGGGGGGGCGCCCCCTTCCGCCGCCTGTAGAAGCAATTGCTGTAAAGCCACTCAAATCAAGGCAATCGCCAACTGAAAATTTGGATACCAGGATGATGCCTGTGGCTGCAAGCATCATTATGGTATAACCACTTAAATATGACATCCACCCGGAGGAAGTAGTTAACCGATGTTTACACAGCACAGCCATTCATACAAAACAAGCAGGCCATAGTACTGAGCATGTGGTGTCCCACTAAAGGTAGCCATACACATTATGGTTTCTGCCGATCATCTAATTGGCTCCAAT